TCTATCATGGATTACAAAAAAAAAAAAAAACCGTACGGACTCGCCGATTCACTGTTCGGACTCGCCGATTCCGTACAGTGAATCGGCGAGTCACTGTGCGGAATCGTCCGGTTCTCTCTAGAACCGGATGATTTCCAATTTTTCAACCGATCCGGTCCCTTTTCGCGAATTCCAAGTCGAACCGGGCGAGTTCGATTCGACTCGGCGTTTTTTAAAACGCTGCATACCCGTAACCCAAGTTAATTCGCGAGGTTTCTTAAATCTGCTTGTGAGATAAGCATGAAATATGTACAGGATCATCATTAGAACCATCATACTTGCCGACCATTGATGAACTGATCAGATTAACTAACCAAATATTACTTCAGTCAGTATACATTGAATAGAGGCAAAAGCCTCTCTAACCGTTAAAGGATAGTAAAAAGTCATAGCAAAACCCGTAGTAGCTACTTGTACTATTCCCCCACACTTACTATTGATTGGGGCATCCCGTGCAACTTGGCAACATCACGAATAAAAGCATAGGCCACTGATACCGTTGTGTAGAGGTGGGAGAGAGCGCAAATGTGAGCATACTTAATAAGCCCATCCACCACAACCATTATTGTGCTTTTATCGTTTGAAAAAGGCAAGCCATCGATAAACTACGTCTCCCAAACTTGCTTAGGAATGGGTAATGCTTGCAGCAGCCCTGGTAGAGAAATTGTCTCCTTTGGCACATGTCACACTCTGCTACAAAATGCTTCACATCTTTTCTCATTCCATGCTTTGGACAACCCCTTGTAGGTCCTTTAGTAACCAGAATGACGTGAAACAAGTTTAGGAATGCCTCCTTAAATTGTAATGCGACTATAAGGGCCAATCACCCTTTGACCTACATAATGTGTACCCCGGAACAACCATCGGGACTAATATTAAGTTGTTGAGTGATGTCCCTTGTCTCGGCATGGTCTTGACCATTGCTAGAAAAACCGGGCGATATCACTAACAGTATGTGATTAGAGCAGAACCGGTCATTTGGATAGTTTTGGAGATTGATCGGTATTTAAAAAAAATTTCAAAAAAAAATATTTAAATTCCCAAATATAAAAAATTTCGTTTGTAATGTATTTTTTAATATTCTTTATATTATGATAAAAATTAAAATTTGTCTTTACCATTAATACTCTAATTCAAACATCGATTCATTAAAATATATTCTTTTTATTAATTTTCGACTTCATTTGAATGTATTTTATTTTAATCATTCATTATATACTTTTCATATTTGAGTAGATTTTTATTTTATATATTTTTTATTTTTTCAATACTTCTTTTTTACTACTCGAGACTTGCCCGGTTAGAACGATTGAATCGGTCAGCTTATCGGTTAGACCGGTTTGACTGCTTCCGGGCCCATATCCAGTTAACCATTCCGTTTCAATTTTGCGAACACGACACTCCCTTCCAGTATCCTTGGCAAAAGAGAAAACTGTGGCACGGAAATAGCAGCTGCAATCTCTCCTTTAAATTGCCAGGATAAAGCATCAGCTGCCAGATTATCCTTTCCCTGTACACGATCTCATAGCATACCTAAGGTGTAAACTTGCTACTTCAAAGAATGAGGTTTCAGTGATCCGTCCGTATTTGGATCCAATATCTTTGAAAATACCAAAATACAATACTAAATAACCTAAAATAATAATAAATTAAAGGACATAGGGGTCCCCATGAGGGCTGATGTCACCCTCATCTTAACCATGGAAGAGGGTGGCATCATCCTTACCATGGAGATGACATGTAGACATTCATTTAAGCCAGGGACTGTCTTTGATCGTCATTACCTCAAAACAATTTCAAAAAAACGGATTTTTTTGCCTAGATAAATCGAGAAAATTCACATAAATCCATAAAAATCATTTTAATGATTTTTCATCAAAACAAATTATTTTGACATTGATTAAAAACATTTACAAAGGAAATTAAGATCATTGGAGTCGAATTACAAAACGAAATACTCCACTCGGCTAGACCCAAAATCCAAAACAACTTTCTCACAATAACCAACATATAATCACATACTTATGATTTTAACCTATCAAAGTCAAATCGATGTGCGACTCTGAATCCCCAAGTTTAAATAAATTCCAAGTACACCCCCTAAAGGACATACACACAAGATGCAGGAGTTCCTCTCTCGATGCATATGCGTATCCCTATCCAGTGAATCCTTGGAAAAGCGGCTTCCCATACATTACGATTGTATATACATACTACAAAAAGGTTTGTAATAGTCGGGAATTTAGGCCAATACCCTCTATTGACCCTAATATTCCCACACATGATTTTTAGTCATCAAGCTCATATATAAATCGTATTGCCCTGACCCATTACTCAATCAAGAGGCACAAACATAACAACCGATCCTAACTTAGAAGTAACCCTCAACCCTCTCTGTACCTCCCATATATAAATCATCCTCATGACCTAATCGGGGTTCCATGACTGTTGGTCCTAGTATGTCCAGATCCTAAAGTCATGTTGCTCTCGTGCTCCCGCTGAAGTCAAAAGCCATTTGAAAATGTTGAAATTTAAGGCTAATTCCAACATATAATCACCACGTATTGAGGATCTTTCCATCATTTACATTGTTAGCTAAACTATTATGGGGCTTAAGAAGTTCTTCCAGCCCCATATTGTAATATACTTTCACATAAATTAATATGGTGGAGTAATTGAACAGATGAATATCTATAAAGTTAACATTGAGCATTTCATTTTTAGAAAATCATACTTAATGAGTTTCATTTAATCACATAACCTCTACTAATAATTATTATCACAATTCGAACCAATGGACAGCTCTCATTATCTTTACATCATGATTGATTGAACAGTGACACAAACCAGTGACCATAGATTTTATAAGCTCAAATGCATTCACGTGCATGCCAATAAGTGCCTAATATAAACAGCCAAATCTTTATAACGAGCCATCTCTTTTTTCATGCTTATCAATAGAAAGTGCAGCACACATGCAATATACAAGATAAATGTGGTTGAGATAATACGCACACTCCTTTTGATGGAAAACAATAGACTTTAAGAGGAGGTGTGTAAAAACCTCCATTGCATGTCTCCATGATAGATGATGATACTATTATACTATGCTATACATGCTTTCTTGCTCTGCATAACTTCAAGTCATCGTGTTTGCTTATAAAGTAAATGTTTTGGACGCTGGTAAGTGGTAATACATACATAAAACAATGTCCAACATGGCAAAATCATTAATGCTTGAGCTCACCCAATTGCTGTTTGATTTCAATTCGATGGAGAATTCTGTAAATCTCATGCTTCACCCACCCATAGGATCCACTCCCAATAAAATTTTCCAACATGAAACCTCTGATATGAAACGACAATGATCCTCATAAACCTGCTCTTCATAGACCTACCCTGGTTCCACGACAACAAAAGCAGTGCTAGGATTGCATTTTAAGTGAGATTTTTTTCTTCTTTTGTTGTTCAGCTTCAACTCAGAGGACCCATTTTCACCTCCCAAAATTTTCTCCACCGCCACTCATTTAGATTTTTATTCATTACAAATCATGTGGATTTTTTTTGTTACCATTTTTGCATCATCGCCTAAGCAAAAGGAAAATAGGAAGCATTCAGTACCAAATCACAGGGAAAGGTATACTTTGCCTACATCATAAATGACACCTTTATGGTATATTTTAATATACCACAAGGAGGAGATGACCTCATAATTTGCTCAACAAAGTGGCTATGCATGGTATGGAATTCAAGGTCAAGAAATTTCCATGTAAATATAAAAGACACGAATGAACCTTCTAATAAAATCAGTAAAGGGAGCGCCTGCAATCTGAATGTAATTCCCATTGTTAAGAGGGGAAAATATAGATGTGTGTCTCAGTAGATGAAACATGAATTCATCCCCAATCTGCATGTGAAACATAAAGCTACAGTTTAATGATAAATTTCCCCAATTTCTCAAAACAAGATATAATTAAGAATATACAAGAGGCCATTCCCTTGACAGCATAGGTAAAGGGATTGAGCAAAAAATCATGGCAGATTATGCTGAAGGAAAAGTAGATCTTAGTAAAACAGAACAAATACAGCTAAGCTTTAAAGATCCAGAACAGAAAGAAAGCAGATGAGCTCTTACCCTAGTTAGGAGAAGACTCCAGGCTGAAGAACAGAAAACATCTATCATGGGGCTAGAGCTGATCCACTGCAAACTAATGATAAATGATTAAGAGCGAAACCTTTGTCTCAACCAATCGCCTAGTAAAAATTAGACAACAATTCCAGTACCCAGTTAAAAATCAGCAGAACATCTCTACAATTTTGATAGGGAAAAAGGTTATATAAGGTTGAGGCCCTGAACAATCAAACTAAGGCGCACCCGAAAATTTCACTAGAAATTGTCTCGATGCTGAAAAACCTTCAAATCTGATCATCTCGACCTTGAGATACATGAACATAAAAAAAAATTGGACTTTAAATCTTGGAAATAGTGCATTATCTAGACCATCAATTTTCAAGATTTTAAACTGTTTATAAATCTACACTATTTTTTAAGCTTTAAATTTTAAAAAAATTATCACGGTCTATTTAGAAAAAATAACCCTCAACTTTCATAAACCTCGCCCACAACCTTTTTCTTCAATTTTGGGTTTTTTTTTCCAAAATAACTTTCACGGTAATCGTATTACCGTGAAGCACCATTACGGTACTGTAAAAATTAACCCATGTTATATGGAATTTTATATACCATAAGGAGTTGAAGTATTATTACGGCACTCGAAATGCCGTAATAGAATCGTACCCTATAAATCCTACCCGAAACCCTTTTCTCTTTTATGGTTTTGTTTGTATTTATCTCTTCTTTCTCTCTCTAATTCTTTTCAATATTTATCTCTTCTTTCTCTCTCTAATTCTTTTTAATATTTATCTCTTCTTTCTCTCTCTAAACCGCTGGAGAGAGAGATTTAGAAAGAGAAAGAAGAGATAAATATTAAAAAGAGTTAGAGAGAGCAAGAAGAGATAAATATAAAAAGAATTCGAGAGATAAAGAAGAGATAAATACAAACATAACCGTAAAGGAAAAAATGGTTTTTGGTAGGGTTTATAAGGTGCAATACTATTACAGCATTTCGAGTGCCGTAATAATTCTTCTACTCCTTACAGTATATAAAATACCGTATAACATGGGTTAGTTTTTATAGTACTTAAAGTACCGTAATGGTGCTTCACGGTAATACGACTACCGTGAATGTTATTTTGGTCAAAAAAATGCCAAAAATTGAAAAAAAAAAGTGTGGGTGAGGTTTATGAAAATTGAGGGTTTTTTTTTTAAATAGACAAAAGTTAAGATATATTTGTGATAATTTCCTTAAATTTTATAATCAGAGATATTGTGATAATTTCCCTAAATTTTATAATCAGAGATAAAAGTAAATTTTTAGGTTATAATAAAGATTTTCAATGCTAAAACGACATATTTCAATACTATTTGGAGGTGGGTCTTACTTTGATTGTTTAGGGCCTCAGCCTGATACAAACCACACCCTTTTGATAGATCATAATGAAAAGAAAAAGCTCTGTGCTTCAAGACAGATGGAGCAATAGGTCGCGCCAGATTCTCAGTTATCCAGATTGCAAGTAATTTTAGTTTCTCTGTGCAGAATATTAATTGAGCACCTTCTTTTGTGAAACGCTCAATTAGATCGATGGCAAGAATCTTGTGTTTTGTTTTGGAAAATGCTATATATTATTTCAAAATAATATCTCCTTTTTGTACCATGGTATTCCAGAAAGAGTAATGTGTTGGAAAGTATATTGTCTTATTTATAGAAAGATAGTGGGTTTATGTATCCTACATGGGAGAATCGATTGAGGGAAGCCTTTCCTTGTTTATCCTCTTCACTTGTGAATTAAGAACCAATGGGAGATAAGGTCTTCCAAAGCATGAGCGTGTGCGAAGGTGCACGGGAAGTTAATGGTGCACTTCGTACCTCGCACACTCGCATCGGCACATAAGGCACCCTTTTCCAAGCACGTGTGTGGATCGGGCTTGTGGCTCGTATTCTTTTCACTGCATGCCACTGATACATTGTGCTCTCTGGTAATTTGGTGGTCGAAAGGCATTCCGTGGTTTGATGCGCTCCCGTGAATTGTGCCCAACAAGTGAAGAAGTGCATACAAAGCATGCGCTCCGGTAGTTTGTGTTCCACTAGAAGAGACGTGCATAGGTAGCATGATAGTTGGTTTTTCGAAACGCAAAAAGACGGTGACTTTTGGCTCACACGTGTAAGACATGGTGGCTTGTTTCCAGGAACCTGAAGAGACATCATGTGACGTTGGCTATTATGGTGCATGTCAATTGCAGCAAATACACCATTCTGATGATTGAGATTTCAATAGACACAATTCTTGACCTAACGCTTACTTGAACAGTCACACGACATAAGTAAAAAGGCACTTTATCTCTCTATAAATAAGGACTTGTTTCTTCCAATCTTCATAATGAAGTTTTCTTACTTCCTAATGTTTTTATGATAACTCTCTCTCTAAAAAACCAACTCTGATGCTCTAGATCCTGTAGTACTTCTGCATCTGTATTGGCAAGATAACTTTCTCAATCCTCTGCTCCCATGTATCATGAGCACAAATTCACTTGATAGAAGCTTAGATGCACAATGATTGTTATCGATAAGGCATAAATATTGTCTTGAGAAACTTCCTTTGTTTCATTCATCATTTATTTTGCCCTATTTCAACCTTCATTTCAACAATTCAATATAATATTTCGGATGAAACATGGAGTCTGTCAAAATTATGAACACATTGTTTAAAAAGAATGTTATGAGATAAAGATTGAAAAATTAGGTTCATCACTCTCTTGGTGTTGTGCTTTTTTTTTCGGCTTCCTTTTGGATGCCTCCATGTAATATGCACTGAAGTAACCTAGATGAAAGGCCCTAGTGGCTTAATAATAAATCTATGTTCAATTCCTATCATGACCTTGCTATTTTCATTTTTTCTCACTTCTTTTAAGGGACTTTCTAGCAATAAAGTTCTTATTATCATGTGTTAAGCATATCGATATTGCTAACGGATTGATTGTTT